CCAACCCCCCGGGTACAAATTCGAAGAAAGGATTAATGAACCCCCTTGTGCCAGGTATGGCTTTGAACATGGGATTTGGGAGCATCCTTACGTCATTTTCTAGTGTTGGCCCGGATTCACCAATTTGCATGGTTTCATCATTAAGTAATGAGGCATTCTGATTTGTCACAGGCCTCGAAAGAGGTTCATACCAAGACTGAGATGATGGTCTTTCATAGTTTTGGTTACTAGTTTAAGACCATTAGTATGTCCACTACTCTACATAGCTGTTTATCTCTAGCCAATCTTTGCTGAGGGACATTTGAAATTTCCTTTATGTGTCTTGTGTTAGTTGGTTGATGAGTATTCATTCAATCCAAAAAGGATGTTGCCCATCTTTCCATTGTGTTCATTAACTACTGTCCCATGGCATCTACTAGGCCTCTCCATGGATTCATTGGCTGAGTAGATGGAACAGTGGATGGTCCAATTCCTTGGCCTCGTCCAATATTTTGAACATGTGGTACTTGCTCCGAAGTGCTGGTCTGTTCGACCATAGGTTCTGACAAAACAGATACTTCCACAGGATGTGTTATCACATTATCATCTGGATTAGATATTTCTACCTCTCCTTCCACGTATTCTTCCAAGCGTTCATTTTCTCATTGTCTCTTACGTCTAGCCATTTTAATTTGCCCCACTAGGCGTGCCAAAAATATATGTTGGCTTTTTTGGCTTTCGAAGGCTATTATTGTAATTTTGAGCGTACCAGCAAAGATCAATCAGTCCTTACAGAATATTAATTGCTAACCAATTATCAGACGATTGTATTTTAGTTCTTTCAGCCTCAATAAAGAGGACTTTTACCGGTGGCTTTGTTTAAGAGAATTAAGCAAACAATGATTAAATGAAGAACAATTGTAGCATTTCATTAAATAAACTGGAAGGCTTACAATGATTCAAATTAGCCTCGTAGAGGTTTACAGCAACAAACTACTTGAAACTACTCCTATGAACGAAGTGTAGTACAGGAATTTGAAGTACAGAAATGTAAAGAACAAGAAATGTAAAAACTGAAAGGAAAATAAAGTAGATAAAACTGATTTTTTGGATCTGAGTCTGGGGCTTTTTTTGGGGCCTTCTCTGCTATTTATACTTCTCAATGACAACCGTCAAAATGGATTTCTAACCGTTGAACCATCCCTTCATGATCGTTGGTCATGTTTCCTCATAGTTAGCTCCACTATGCCATATCTGCCCTCTTAATTTTGAATTTAAATATATGAGTAACCGTTAAGGCCACGTCATCTTGCATCTCTTCACTGATTCAGTGCTACGCAAATCTACAATAACCAATACTGATTGCCACATGTATGATTACGATTGAAGATTTGAATTGTCTTTCCGTGTTGCTCTCATCTTGCCACGTGTTGGACTGTAATTGACTTATACAAAATATGCAACCAACACTTATCAAACTTAGGATTTTATAATGATGGGCCAGTAATCTAAGCTACTTGCAGCAATAGCCCAAACCGAAAGGTGTCACAAAATTTTCAGTTTCTAAAATACTCATAATTATTAACTTATGTAAAAAATTTAAAGTATAAAATTTCAAAATATGAGCTTTAATTAAATGATAATTTTTAAATTTTTTTTAACAGTCTATAAGATGGAAATAGGAAAATGCTCTTTCACTCACAATAATAAGGTAGTTTGACCGTACATGGTAAATTTTATGATAAATCAAAAGTTGATATGTAATTTATCATGTCATTGTAGGTAAATTAAAAAATAATTACAATTCAGTGCAATTGTTTTTATAGTTTTTTTTTTTTTTTTCAATGACAGTTATACCCATGTTTCTGTAATTAATTTTGATCAATTTGACTTATAATTGGCCACAAATTAATGATGAAGCCCTTTTACAGGCAATGGACCCGTTTGGTCTTTTGGTACCCCGGGGCTGGGCTATTTTGGACGTCGTTTTTTTTTTCCCGAGAAAAAAAAAAAAAAAAAAAAAAAAAAAAAAAAAAAAAAAAAAAAAAAACCGCAATTAGTGGTAGGTCATATATACAAAATTCATAACTTATTTAATTTCAAAATAAAATATTTATACTAATTAATTCTACATATTTTAATTATTATCAAAAAATTCTTTTTAAAAAAATAAATTAAAGATGCTATTATATTCCACTACCGAGGCTTACTGGAATGTTCAACATCATTGAGAAGGCAACCGAAGTATCGACATAGTGTTTTAAACATCATTGGAAGTCGCCGCAATATTGAGAACGTTCATTGGACGTTAAAAATATTGTCAGAGACTTGCCGGAATGTCAAGAATATTGTTAGAAGGAAAAAAAGAATAAATGAAAAAATTAGAGCAAAAAAATAATAAAATGTGTTAAATATTGATAAATTGACACACAAAAAAAAAAGAGTAACAAATAGCGATAATGATAAAAAATATATATTATTTTTTAATTTTTGTAAAATTTAAGCAAATAATCTCTAATATTGATTAACTTGAAAAGCCAATTTTGAAACTGAGGCCTTGTTTGGGAACAGGCTTTTTTAATAACTTTTTGACTTTTTAGCTAAAATGTGATGTAAAAAAAAAACTAGAATGTTTGGGATAACTTTTTGACTTTTTACGAAAAGATGTGCAAAAAGTAGAGAGAAAATGAAATCTTTGACTTTTTGATATGGGTAGTTGGCTTTTTAATTTTTTTAGTAACTTTTTGACTAAAAGAAGCACTTGCCAAACGAGGCTGAGTATCCTTATTAATCAAACTATAAAAAAATGTTATGAAACTGTAAAATTTTATTGTAAAAGCATGTTATGAAACTATTAAATTTTACAGTTTTAAAGTATGATTGATTTCAGCATCAAAAAAATTGTATTTTTTTTATAATTTTTATCGCCTGTAATTAAAACTCGAAATAACTTGTTCAGAATTTGAAATTTTTTGCTATTAAAATAGGAAAAGAGAAGTGTGTAGCAGAGAAAAAGTAAAAAAACTGATAGATTAAAGGAGAGAGACGATATCGAGAGAGGATTGTACTCCGACAAATATTTTTGATTTATATCTAGCAGGATCTGATGTAGATCTACTCATTTTCCTATTCGAAAACTCATTTGTTTCACTGTCTGTGAGGATAAGGTAATGAGTCGGTAGTTAGTTGTTGTCGGTGAATCTCAATTGATGGTAATCGTCAATTACTCGTAATTATATATCATAAAAAAAAAAGAAAAAGAAGAAAAACGTAGTCCCCGGTCGCCGAATATCAGAAAAAGAAATAATGAGAAGAAGAAAGATGCACAGAATTTTTTAGTCTACCAAAAGATTTTGAAATTAGACAGAGTGCACAACTTTTAAAGAGGATTTACAAGTAATTTGTCCCCCCCCCCAAAAAAAAAAAGGACAGAAAGGGAGAGAGCGAAAGAATGAGGCAAAAGAAATCAGAGAGAGGGAGAAGACAACCCCTCTAAAGTTCTCGCACCTCTCACTTCTATACCCACCACCCAGGTTCGATTTTCAGGTTTTAAGTTAAAAAATTAAGGTTTTAATTTTCACTTGAGAATTTTTAATTTCTAAATTAGGATTTTTTCTCTCCATTAACCCAAAAACCTTACACCACATAATTTTTTTATTTTATTTTTTATATTACTTTATCTATCAGTGACATATCTGTACATAAATATATACATGTCAAACATACGATACAAATGTCTATGCATGTATCTTTGTTTATACAAATTCAAAGATATATGACGCTGTTTGGGAAGCATAGGTTAGGGTTATTATAGCCTCAAAATGGAAATAAGCCAAAAAGTCTACTATAGCAATCCTTTTTATTAAAAAAAAAAAATTAAAAAAAAATAGCCTCAGCTGCCGTGACAATGTAGGGCCACCGTACACTGTCGAAGTGTCAAATTTCTACATCACTTGAGAAATTACATTTTTGCCCCTTCACATCAATTTAAAAAATTATAATTTTAGGGACAAATTTGTCATTTTAACTTCAAATATCATTTCAACACACTCTTCAATACAACAACTCAAATAAAAATCCATCTTATCTTCCCAAACACAAAAACTAAAATAGCCTACTAAAATAGTCAAAAGCTAAAAAGTCTCTAAAATAGCCACTTCTCAAACGAGACCATAATAAAGGGTCTAGCTGATCTTCAATTGGAGATCAAGACTGGACCGTCCAGACTAGCTCGTGGGCCCATTTTTGGACTACTTTTTGATAATTTAAATCGTTCATTGTATAGTCAAGTATTATATTCTTGTAAAAAATTATGTTGATCAAATATAAATAGCTATTTGATAGGATCAGATTTCTGTCAGCCGTTTATTTTTTTGCCGTTCATTTTTTTTTAATACAAAATTGATCGGATTAAATAGTTGTCGATATCTGATTAACGTAATTGTCTACAAAGATATAATACTTAACGAATTTTACATATTGAGTGATTCAAATTATTGAAATGAGGCCAAAAAATGAACCTACGGGCCGAATTGGACGGTCGAGTCTTGATCTCCAACAAGCTGGAATGATAATAAAAGCTTTTTGTTTATGATTTTTTTATTTCTAGTATTATTGTGGCCAATCACATAAAGAGAGAGCTCTAACCTAGGAAATATTATTCCATTGATTACAAAAATTTCTCAATTATCCGAATTTCATAAAAGCAGCTTTCTTCATTGAACCAAAAAAAAATAAAAAAAAATAAAAATATTCACATAATTGTGGAATTTACATCATGAGATCTATATACATTGTTTGAATTGAAAATACCAATTCTTTAGGATTTTGTATCATATCCCATGTTTGAAATACTTTTGGATTAGTAGGGGATAGTACAATTCTATATTATTCTATCACATGTTTGTTTGAAATTACTAGACATTTACTACATAGTGTAAAACATAAATGGGGTCTTTTAAACGTTTTTACATGTTAGTCCGCACTCACTAGGAATCAATATATGAACAATATCAGAATCGGACTATCAATCTGGAACTCAATTTCCCATCAAACAAACATATTACAAAGTATAGGGAAACACTAAACACAACAATGATCATTACAACATTCAATTCCAAAAAGAAAAAAAAAAAATTAAGAAAAGAAAATATCACAAGAATCATCAAATTAATAGAATAAAATCCACATAAGAAATCCAAGCAAACACAACTGCACTCTCTGCAGCAGCTTATAGTGAAACGTGACAGTCTGTCGTCTGTGAATTCTTCTTGGATGACTGCACAAAAACAGGTGAACAGAAAACCCTCAATCTCCGATGTCCTGTCTTCCACGATCCATACTTAAACCTCACCTTCGCCTTCATCTGAACATCCAATTCCACATTCCCTGCCGCCTTCTCAAGCCCCAAGTCTTTCGCCACCTTCCCAGTCAATGTCACATTTTGAGCCACAAGTTTTTCATCCAAATGATTCTCATTCCTATGAGGCTGAAAAAAAGGTTGGCCAGCGCTGGCCGCCAATTTGTCTTTGTCATAGAACACATACACTTCCACTTTGTCGTAGTAGATTGAGACTCTGCTGTTGGGATTGAATGCTCTTATCACAAAGTTGAATGTGCCATTAAGGTGGTTGTTGGCTATGTTGAGGTTGCTGATCGAAGCGTTTTCGATGCTGTACCTGGGTTTTTTGGGCTTGAGAGAGAGCCAAATGATGAGCACAGTAAGGCCTATGAGGACAATTAGGGCTATCAAGACCATGCAAATGGTTCTCACTAGCTTTGATTGTCTTGGTTGGGCAGTGAGTGCTCTTGGATTGGCCATTGTAGAGAGATTGATGGATGGTATGCAATGCTGAGCCTAGGGTTTGAAATCTCCGTTGTTTTATACAGGATAAAAGGTGAGAGAATGTTTGTATTGAGAAGCTACACTTTGTGCTTCTACATAAAATTTTTGCGTTGGTGCCTATATTTTAGTAATATGTGAAAAAAATTTAATGTCTCTTTTCTATATTCCTTTCTTTATCTTTCCAATTGCTTTATTATTATTATTATTATTATTATTTGAATAATTTTTGTATAGCTGATTTCTTGCATGAAACTCAAAACATTTGAGAAATTCAGGTTCCACTTCTCATATATTGGCAAATGTCTTAAAAAATTTTGCATTCAAGACACCTGAGAAATTCAAAATTTTAGACATTTGTCAACATTATTAACACCAAATGTGAATTAGAAATGTGACATTGCAACTTGACTTAAAGTGTAAGAGGTTGACTATCTCTATTAAACGTAGAAGAACTAAAGTGAGATTTTGGTGAAAGTCTAGCAGTACTAAATGTAGTTAATCAAAACACTTTCTTTTATTTGTTTTAGGGACATTTGATTTGAAAAGTCCTAGGAGGGTACTCTCTCAATCAACAAAACAGATATGCAGAGCTGAAACTGGATATGAATATATACTTAGCTTGCAGACAGAAAAAAGGGAAGGGCTTAAATTAGATGCCAAGCAATCATCTCATGAAACTTTTGTAGTGGAAACACTATTTCTTTGGTGATTCTTGCTTTGCCTCCAAGGTGTTCCAAAAGCACCCATTGATTGATAATCAGAATTAACATATTATTGAATCAGCAGAATATGATGGAGACAATAATCAATCATATGCAAGACATGCTTTTAATCAAAATTCTTGCGTCTGCTTTATAAATATTAGATGAAAGTTACCATGTTAAATTATTTATGCTATTATATAAAAGTAGAAACTTTAATCAAATTTGAAGTCGTGTTATGCGATTCTCAATTTCAAATTAATTAAAATTGTCATGCTCAGGAGAAATATAGAGGTAGAAGGCTGGTTAATGAACAATTAGATTCAAGGAAAGAGTATCTATAAGTTATAGGCGGAAAGTTTTTTGATAAATTTTAAAATTTTAAAGAATGAAATGTTTGATACAAATAATAAAAGGAAGAATAAGAAGAAAAAAGAGTGAATGAAATAGTTGAGGAGGAGATAATTATTTTTGTATATTGTAATTCTCTTCTTGTGTGTTTAATTTATCATTTATTTATTTATCATTATTCCTATTTGTATTTTGTATTTGACTAATTCTGATTAAGTGTATAAATTCTAGACCGAAACAAAACCTAGTTTCACATTGAGGAAAGGATAATTTAGAGGCATAATTAATTCTGATTAAGTGTATAAATTCTTAACCCAAACAAAACCTAGTTTCACAAAACCTACGTTTAATTAATTTAGAGGAAAGGATATTACATTGATGATTCTTTTCTTGAAAAGAGTTGCTAGTCCGTATCATCATGTGACCCTCTCTCATTGTGAAAATGACATTCAAATTTGTTAGGCTTTTGTAATTGACAATTTAGTTTGATAAAACTCTTTTTAATTGTAATTTTATTCGATTTTTTATTTTATTGAGGCTTTGAGTATTTAGATGCGAATCCAATCAGAATTGTGCTTATGCAGAAGAGTTTGTGATCTTAATCCTATCATATTTGCCACTTTGTAGTACCCCTGAAGAAAAAAGCAAAATTGTAGTCGAAACTGTTTGATCGCTCGAGCGAAGATGCTATAATTTTATAAGTTTCACTTGCCTACAAAAGTACTGAGAGTTGTATTTTTGCGCTCGAGCAGCCTTTCCTGCGCTCGAGCGTAGATCCTTATTCTGAAACACGCATTTTAGTCAAATTGCTCGAGCGTTTATTCCTGCGCTCGAGCGGAAATCGTGATTCTGTTTTCTATAAATCTGTGATTAATTCAGTTTCTAGGATACAACCTCCAGATCTTCTTTTTAGATATTAGGGTTTTCATCTGGAGTTTCTTTGCTTGTTTCCTTTGATAACTGTAAGAGTTTATATCATGAATTGAGTGGATTTCATCAAAGGGTTTGTTTATTTTGTTTTATTCAAAAAAGAGAGAGTTGTTCTTCGGTGGATTCTGTGAAATTTGGACTTGAAGTTTTGGTGGATTTCAGAGTGGCTTGTCGTTGTGGATTCAACATCGGCGTTATGGATTTAACATTGGACAAGACAATTCCGAGGTGAAAATGGTGGTGGAAGAGGTACATTGGGGTTGGTTCAATTTGGGCGTAGATTCGCTAGGTAATTGAAAGTACACTTGTGTAATTCCTTTTTGTCTTCTTAGTGGATTGTTTTGTGGCTTTAACCCATGATTTTTGTTATCACAATTAGAGGCGCTCCAATTATGATTTTTTCACGTTAAATCATTGCGTCGATACGTTTTTGATTGTTTGAATAGAATTATTATTTACTGATAAAAATTGATATATAATCACAAATAAATATGTCGGAATTTTTAGATTTTTCAAATTCAGTTGTATTTCAGTTGCACAGATCTTTTAATTGCATGTCGGAGCACCTGGAAGCCACCCAAGTATATAATAATAATAATAAAAAAGTTCGAAAGAAATATCCTTCCAAGAATATATCCATATGCTCATTTAGTATTTAGCTAATTTGATAGAATTTGCATGTTTTTGGTATCTTTGTACTTTTTAATTAATATGGTCCCATGGCCAATTCAATTATTCTCCACAAAATGAAAACAGAAAACGAATTTATTTGGTAAACTGTTTTCAATTTTTTTTTTTCAAAAAAAAAAAAAAAAAACAAAACAAAATAACAGAAGTAATTCTAACAGCAACCCACTTTTTAGAAAATACTAAAAGGTGGTTTTTAAAATTTTTAAAAGTTATTTTTGCATAAAAATGAAAAAGATATAAAAATGATGACTTTTTTTTTTTTACTTATTTTTGTTATATTTCAGATAATTAAAAAATAAATAAATTAAAACACAAGCTAAGAATGAAGAGGGGCATACGTCAGTTACAAAGATCAACAATCAAAACTAAAGCATGTACCCTTGCCTATCAAAAATATAAAATGGAATATTCCAATAACTATAAAAAATTCCAAATTTGAATAAGTTTTGCCTTGTTATGGTTGCAAATTTCTTTTGAGATTATTAGTTGGTTTATTGGTTAAAAATGTACTTTTAAAAATATTAATTTATTTGGCACATTTTTAATTTTTTTATACTATTTTAATGATTTTTTATAATGACTAAAGTGCGTTTTTTTTCACAAAAAATAAATTTATCAAGTGAGTGATTTTTTTTTTATAAACAAAATAAGCTTTTTTAATTAATACATTAATTTTTAAGCCACGGTCAAACCAAGTTTAAACAAACTTTAATGCAAATATATAACGGAATATCTTCAATCAATTGGGCTGTTTGTCCAAAAAAAATTGGGCCGAATAATTTTGAAGCCCCGGGAAAATGGTCCAAAACGTTACACAGCAGCCCATGCTTAGCAACCAACCACCACCCCCCCCCAAACAAAAAAAAAAAAGAAGAAGAGAGAAATTTAGTCCAAATTCCCTAAGCCCAACATTTTAATGTGTAAAAGACATGCCAAAAAAATATTTTACTTCCTAAATCTCCGGAGTAACAAGTGCTTTTTTCATGAAAGATAGACTAATATTTTTTCTCTTTTTTTTTGGACATTCTTGCACTTGATATATATCTCAGAGATTTTGAATTAGATTTATATACATGATTCAAGCGAAAAGTAATTACTTCCCAAACTGAGATCGCGATTTACATGAAGGGATACGATTCACGATTCAGCTTTCTTCACGCAAAGAATTTGTCCATAGTCTTCTTTTTTGAGAGTATTAATCGAGTTTTAGAGATTCATTCCATCACTGTCTGAGTTTATGGAGTTTTCTTCAAGTATGTTGAATTTTTTGCGAGTGTTTTTTTGATTAATTTGTTGATTTTGTAGATTGTTATTTGTAGAGCTTTCTTCAAGTACGTTGCATTGTTGTCAAATTGTTGTTGATTTGTTTGTGAATTCGTAGTGAAGGAACTCAAATTGTTGTTGATTGAATTGTTGTCAATTTTGACGATAATTTTTTTTAGGGCAAATTACATATATCCCCCTCGAGGTTCGGCTAAATTACAAATACCCCCCTCAGGTTTGAGAAATTACAAATTCCCCCCTAATGCTATATTTGCATAATAAATTAGGGGGTAATTTGTTATGAAATTTAAACCTCGGGGGGCAAATTGTTATGAAAATACAAACCTTAGGGGGCGAGATGTAATTTTCGAAACCTGAGGGGGGTATTTGTAATTTAGTCAAACCTCAAGGGAGGTATATGTAATTTGCCCTTTTTTTTATTTAAGAATTTTAGTCGACTTGGATCTTATTTGATAGATATTTGTGAGATGATTACAAAAATATTAGTTTTTATTAAAAACTAACATTTAGATCCAAAGTTATATCATTTTAAAGTTTAAAATATTAAATTACTCATTAAAGATATTTTAGTAATAGTGGTATATGTTCGACTTTTTAAGAAAAACTTTTTTTGTACTCTTTATGCATTAAAGTTTTATTATGAATGAATTTTGACCGATTTCTCCTAAAATTAATGTTATACAAACAAAATTTAAATACAAAAAGTTTCATAGAAAATGACATGTCTAATTTATATTCACTATTAGAAATAAAAAAAATCCATTATTATATATTATAATCGTAAAAATATCATTCTCACATTATTCTGTATAAATTTTTTTTGTGTAAAATTTTTATATGGTTTGTATTTTTCTTTCTAAGGCTGCCACCATAAAATAAATTATTTATTTATTGGCAGAGACTAATTATAAGATAATATTGAGTACTTACCATGTGTAATGCGATATTGATTAAATTTAAATATTATCTGATATAAAGTTTTACTTGACACTAATCACATTATTTTATGTACCCATAACAGATTAGCATGGGTGCTCTTTAAATAAAATATTGCCAACATTAATTGAATTAACTTGTGGCTCCTATGAATATGCTATGCTTGAATTGAAGGAAATCCTCATAAAGGGAAATTGGTCTGAA